TGTTTCTAACGATAGTAAGTAGTAAGAAGCCTTTAATTTCATAAAATTGTAAAGTCACGTGGATCACGTGACTTTTGAGCATATAAAGATGAAAAACCTGAAAAACACGTGCAAACACAAACTCGTGAGGTCAATCGATGCAAGTTTGCTTAAACTGAACACGCACACGTAACTTGAACTGGAAAAACAAATTAAAATTGTTATTTTCATCTTTGTTAGAAAATGCCGCGCCTTTCAAATGTAGAACGTCTACGTGCTATAGGTAGGCTCTATGCTGGTCAGTCTGTGGTCACTGTTGCAAGAGCCTTTAATTGTTCACGCCAGACAATAATTAATCTTAGAATGAGAGTGCTTCTAACTGGAACTATTGCCGACCGCCCAAGGGCGGGAGCGCCACGTGTGACGTCACTCCAGGAAGATCAAGCAATACGATTACGACATCTTAGAAACAGATTTGTCACTGCAACCTCCACAAGTAGAGAGATGTTTGGTGGAAGGGTAACTGCACAAACTGTTCGAAATCGCTTGCAGACTGCTGGTCTTCGAGCTCGGAGGCCCTATAATGGACCAATATTGACACCTCTTCATCGCCGTAACCGACTTGTGTGGGCCACAAGACACATAAGATTTACTCAAAGACAGTGGAATTCGGTTGTCTTTAGTGACGAATCTCGATTCACTTTGAGATTTGCCGATGGCAGGGCCCGAGTGTACCGCAGACGAGGTGAACGTTACGCTCAAGTGTGCGTCAGAGAAGTTGACCGATTTGGTGGCGGCAGCGTCATGGTTTGGGGTTCTTTTTGTGCACATGGACGTTCTCGTCTTGTTGTTGTCCAAGGGAACTTGCTGTCCAGTACAGGGATCAGATTTTGCAACCTGTTCTTCTTCCGTTTAAGCAGAGACATGGACCTGGACTAACGTTTCAACAAGACAATGCTCGACCCCATACAGCAATTGCTACCCAGAATTTTTTAAGAAATGGCGGTGTCCAAGTCCTGGATTGGCCGTCGCTTAGCCCCGACCTTAATCCTATTGAACACATCTGGGACAAACTGGGTCGACGTGTTCGTCAGCAAGTGAATCCACCACTGACGTTGCAAGACCTTCAACATGTTCTTGCTGAGCAGTGGCGACGTCTTCCTCTGGTAGTGTTTACTAATGTTCTGAGATCCATGAGAAGACGTTGTGTGGCAGTACGAGACGCTAGAGGAGGCCACAACCGTTACTAAACACTTTATTCCGATTGTTCTCCAAGTCTGTGAATTTCATTTTGGGGGGTACTGTGACATCACGAACGTTATCAATGTCAAGGACTTTCGGCGAGACGTATTCTTGCTTTCTGTTGATGTCAAGGTCGTCTGTGCACAACATAACACTAAAATAGTTGCCTTAAACCAAATATTAAAAATCTAGTCCCAAAAATCCCGAGTGTCAAGTTTTTAATTTGGCTGAGTATATATTGGAATCATCTAGCTTTGGATGAATATTACTTGGCCTGACTCCCTATTGATATGTAAATAAATTTTCACATTTTATGACCGATAAAACTGATCATCATGCAAATGTTTAATTAGAACAAAAAATAAGTATACTAACGTTAATATACTATGTTGAATCATTTAATCTATAGTGTTCTTCTAAAGAATCTAGCTCGTCGAATAAGTTTATTCTTACTCTTAAGGCCACCTGCAGATTTCGCCAAGGTCACGAGATGTAAACAGGGCTCGGGCATGTGATTGTTGCCGGGGACTGTAGGTTAGGGTGGACATATTATTTAGACCTAATCCTTCTTCTTCCTTCTGCTTTTGCAAACACACTATAACCATTAAAATACCAAATACCAACATTTGTCTACTGTTGGGTTTGCATAGGCCCTATTGATAAGACCTAGATTTTTTTTTTTTTTTTTTTTTTGGGGGGGGGGGGGGTGGCCATCAACCAACAGTGTGTTCTTTTAGTATTTTTCGGTTTTTCATAATTTTAGGCTTACATTCTGTGTTTTTCATATTTATGATAACTGGTTTTGATCTGTCGACGAACTTTGATAGAAGTTCACGATTTGGCTCCATCTATATTAGACAGCTTCTAATGAAATTTTATTCCAGGTTAAGTATGCATTTGATGTCAGGACTAATACTCTAATATTCATTTTTCGAGAGTATTGCTCATTAGTCAAAAAAAAAAAAAAAAAATACGGCGTTATATAACAACTTTTCGACTTCAACGGAATTATCAGGGAGATGCATTGGAGGTTCTTGGTGAGATGAGAACCGATTGTGTATCTTTTATCGCTTTCTACTTCAGAACTTGCGTTTTACATTTTTTTGCGTCACTTCCTGATTAACCGTAGCAAGGTCTCCGTATTAAAATTATATTTGGAATGTCCTTAACCAGGCCTATCACATATCTGTTATATTGGCTGACACCAAAATTGTCCTTTAATAGAAAGCGAAGTTTTCCCCGGCCTACTGTAATTTCGAATTCCATCTGTCAAGAGTTATTTTCGATTTTTTTTGTCCCATCTGAGGAACTTTCTTGGCCAACACCGGTCCCCGAACGAATCTGAGACCTCCAAGTTAGCGAGCCAGCGCCTTTCTCACTGAGCCACCGCGGCCCCCTAAAGTTAAATAGAAAACATTTAGTACTGTGGTTGTATATCATTTTCTTGTATCTACTATCTATATACCACCTTTATTATTGTATTATTTGGTTTAATTTAAACTTGTGGTGCCAATGGAATGGTTGGTTTCTGCTTACTGTAAAATTACTTGTTTCATTAAATATGCCCTAAATTGGAAACACAAGTGGTTACTGTTACCCTAACGCTTAAAATATCTGGGTGTATTAAAATGAATAGTTATTATCTGAAATTAAGTGGGCGTATTATATTATGTTAAATTAAGTGGGCGTATTAAAACGATTAGTTATTATGTGAAATTAAGTGGGCGTATTAAAATGATTAGTTATTATGTGAAATAAAGTTTTAAATCAAATGAAAATTTACTTTTTGAAAGATAAAATTCTACCCGATTTTTAAAATGACCCAGTTTGAAAAGTTCAATTCTGGATTGCCAAGTCCTGTCGACACATTATGCATTATTTCTCGTATAACAAAAGCATATATTTATTTTTATCAAAAAGCTTAATAAATAATGTCTAGCCCTAACTGTCTCTAGATTTAAAATACATGTAATGTACTTACCTCGTCTAAGATATAATTAATAATAATCATTGCTGTCGCCAGAATAAACAATAACAACCATGCTGATTTGTTCTTTACTTTATACGTCATTTGAATTCCAATCTCTAAAAAGAACGGATACAACCCACTCTACACAACGTAAAGTTGTCACCAATACATCTGCCATTCGTAATTTCTACTTTTCGCCCCTTCAGATCGCGATAATCGATAAGTAGAAGTTACGAAAAATGTAAGGCAAACATCGACTCGAAAATAGAAAATAAAAAAATAAACACACTGCGATATTAGCGCCTCTCGTTTTTTTCGGGTTGCATTTAGGCTTGCCATAGAACTAGAACACTAACGGGAACGCCCACTCGGTGACGTATAACGGTGATGACATAATTATGTTGTACATCGCATGCGCGAAGTCAATAAGGCACAAGTAACTTCCGGCCGTATGTCAACATGGCAGAAGCGTACGACGTCCTGGAATTTCAAGAACTTGACGGTGTAATAGATGTAAGTTATTCATAATTTTAATGAGTTTTTTTTAAATTAGTTATATAACATACCATCGGGAGTATAAACCATTTATTTTCGGACATTAAATTATCCGAACACACGTTTGTGTATCATTTTCTACTACATATTATAAAATTATTATTAATAAATTATGATGACATTCACATTTTATTTTTTTTATTTATTGTTTTGTGTATATTGTTGTTAGCCTTTGGCATGTCCGTGCCAGTTTTGGCTGGTTTCCCAGTGCCCTTTTCTTGTTTATAACAAGGGGTTTTACATAGGCTAAGCCTGTTCCCCAATCCCATTCAGACATCTTGAATAAAAATATTGTTTATAAAAAAAAAATGTGTATTCTTTACTACAGCTTTTCTTTGCTAAAGATTTGTTTGAGACATCTCAACCTGTCGTTCCAGTAGCATCCGTAAGTTTTCTACATATACAACATACATGCATATAGTCACATAGTGTTCGTAGCAAATGGGCAAGTTATGAAACTCATTATAGTCTCGACCATGTCTATATATTTTTTTTCTTCTCAAACGATCAAATTGCTTTGGAAATGAAATGAAATGGGGTTTAACGTCCTACTGTTCTGCTCCTATGCTGGGCTAATGAAGACGGGCATACGCCATAAGGTGTGATTTAAGGGAAATTTTGCCCGGGCAGCGGCTCTATCACCTATTCTTATATCGAATTCCAACTGCCACGGGATCTTTTACGTGCATTCCAATGTATACAGGTGACCTCAGGTTTTCGTATCATCCGAAGGATTAGACAGCTGTCCTTGTCAGGCCCTCCTTACTGCATCACTGAAAAGGGGGAACCACGCCGGAAAATCTCGGCCAATGCAGGGATCGAACACCCGACCTCCAGGCTAGCGAGCCAGCGTCTTACCCACTTAGCCACGTGATCCCAAATTGCTTTGGAACAGTTTCTTTTATTTTGTATAATATTTACTTTAAAGGGACAATAACACTCTTGCTGGCTTGAAAGCTCCAGAAAATAAATAATATCTCTATCTAAGTACTAGATGTTTAAGTGTCCCACCTGTTGTGTAAATTATCCATTACATCCTATTTTACTTGTCCAGAGGGTTCGAAAATATTTTTAAATCGAAGTTTCATTTGAAAAGGTTTACGTTAGACGTTTCAAACCATTATGTTGAATTTTTTAAATAAGGTGTGTTAAGATGAAATTTGTATCATCAATTAATTGAAATATTCTAAAATAGCCTTCAAAGGCTAATATCTTCGCTCGCAATAGAGTAATTTGAATGAAATTTTCAAATTAGTCATTTTACATTTTTTATCTTCGAACTATTATAGCAAGAATGGCTAGCTCTTTATCAAAATCTTACATAATGTATATTTAAGAATAATTTAATACATTTATAAAGCTCACACATTACAAGTTGTGCACCTGTATAAAATTTATATAAATTTTGTTATCATTGTTAATATTTTATACTGAGATGCAATAAAAATAATACATCACTTTTATAAATGGATGAATGTAAATCTTGTTTGAAATGAATCCAGGTTTAACGCCCTACTTAGTACTTTTCAGCTCAATTTTGTTTTAAAGATTTGCTTTAATCTTGCAATTAAGGATGTAACAACATCATATTACGATGATAACATGTGAGAATGTTTTGAAGATTGCGTAAACGCACCCCGAACAATTCTCAATCAAAAAAATTAAACCCAACAGAATCAGTATGTTGATTTTTCTGGTACACACGTGGGGTATATAATGCAGCTTTTAAAAAGCTAGGTTTTGTGGAAGGTGCAAAGTTATGCCACGTCATCTCAGAGGTGCTATTTCATTGCGTCTCGATATATTTTGTTTACTATTATCAACCTGGCCCCAAGTTCACAAAGCATTCCCAGACTTAAGAATTTGCTCAACCTTCAATCACTGTTTTTGAGAAATATCTTTGATCCAGAAACACAAAACTTTGCACAGTTTCTTATTGATATATTTACATTAAAACAACAATAGTTAGTAAAGTGCTATATTTGAGTTAAAATAAGACAAACAATTTTGAGTAAAACCTTAACTTAAGACTGAGAATGCTTTGTGAACTTGGGGCCTTGTTTTCTTTTCATTACTTATTAACTACAATACAGTAATAACAAGAAATAAAAAATCTGTGAAATGTGTGAAATGCTTGCAGCAAAGTGCTGTAAATAAAATACCTGACATCACTGATCACAGTTTAACTCTATAACTTCTCATTTGACCTCAAATCTATGTGGAGTCGAGTCAGTTGGAAGAAATAAATCAAAATGGAGTGAAATCTACATTTTAATCAAATTCATACCACATGATTATATTCTATCACTGTTTGCTCGTTTATATGGCAACTATATATTATTGCTAAGCTATTTTTGAATTGTAAATTACATTTACAAGTATGTAAATATTGATTCTTTGAATTATATATTGTCAATCAAAATCTGAATATGCAATGTGCTATGTAGCCATATATGTGAAATAAACTATTATTATTACTATTTACTTTCTCTGTAAATCTCTGTTAATCTGTCGACAACTTAAACAAATTTCTTTTTGAGTGTCCTCAACAAAACTATTACATACAGAAGCAAGTACACAGCTTTCGTAATTTCTATGTTGACTTATTTGTGTTCATGAAAATATCAACCTGTCTGATATATCTTACAGTTGTAGGCTGACATTGAGAATAAGACTGTAAATGTTTTGATGTTATGCCCCCACATATCTTCATATTCTCAACAGTTCTTATAAGTAAATCTATAGATGTAACTTTAATTTGAACAGGAAACAAAAATTATTATACTGTACTTCACAATTCAAGTCCTTGTCAATGGTTAAATGGTATGTTACACTTTTATCTTCAGTTTTAAACAGATAGATATAATCACTTGAAGACTGACATAGCCACAAAGCAGACATTTGACATAAAAATGATTTCTGCAACATCTGAAAGGTTACTTCGTTCATATGTAAACATTGAGTTTCCTCGGTTTTCCTTGGACTCTGAATAAAATAGACAAATTCATAAAATTCAATTAAAACAAGAAGAATTGGATTCTGATACATGTATTCATAATTTTCTCAGTTTCTGAATAAAATCGAAAAAATTACAAAAGTAAATATAAAGAAGAATCGGATATTCATACAAGTATTTATAAATAAAATTATGGGAGATTACAGAAAGAGCTAGCAGTTCTCATTATAATAGTTAAAAAATAGATAATGTAAAGGGAATTTGCTGAAAATTTCAGTCAAATTCATCCACCCTGAACCAAGTATTTAATGATTAAATTTTGGGCCTAGCCTCGATCAGCATTACTATAGTCGGTACGATAAAAAAAACCCATGGTCTCGATTATCGATTTTTTGATTTAATCAGAAGTAGCAGACTGGGCTCTAATTCAGTATATATCACAGGCTAGCGATGCCATCGAGCGTTGATTATGGTCTGGATAAGTTAATTAATGTCTAATTAATAATTTAGATAACATTCCAGGCCTAAAGAAAGACCTGCAATTGACAGATTTAGCTCTTGCATAATGTCTGTTTAATATTGATGAATTAAATGTTCATATACTGATCTTTTATTAAGGTTGATAGTCTCCCTAACCCTTCTTTTAATCTTCGATATGTGGACCCAGAATTTTTGTAAACATCTGAAATATTCATAAAATCAAAATAAAAAGGTTCCTACATACAAAACAAAAGGTTCAGATATAATTAATTTTTTTTCCATGCTTGTTGATTATTCATACCGGGAACAAGATTATTTCGGAATTTAAAAGTAAAAGGATTTGACAGGTCAAGGTCAGTCATAAATAAATATACAATTTTAATTTTTATGGGGCTGCTCAGTTAAAACTTTGACCTTTAAAAAAAAATAATAATTAGTAATTCATAAAATTAAAGTAAAAGAAGATTGTTGAGAGAGAATCGTCATGCTGTCACACACTCATCGGGTGTAGTATTCGTCAATTTCATAACAAATTGCAAGTAGACTAGGCCTAGCTACGGCACTAATGTAAACAAACCTATATGCATACAACTTTGATGAGAGAAAGGGTAAATTCTAACGGGCAAACATGAAAATACAGACATTCAGCTAGTATGGGTTTAACTTAACTTCATTGTAGGTTGTCAGGGTGGACTGCCAACTAGAATCTACATAATTAATTTCTTTTGATTTGAGTTTTCACTTACTTTTTCAACGAAATAATCCGGCTCAACGTGTCTTGAACATATTGTCAAGGTCTTGTCATTTATCGGGTCTGATCTGGTAGACTGTATGATACGTAATGATTCTCTCTCCACTCTATGTTGTTTTTGGGTAAGCGATAGAATGATCAACCCCGATTTCTTTTATTGCAGGCGGAACATCCGAACAAAACACAATTCGCGTCAGGCATTTTGTTAGTGCGAGCAGAAACCGGAAGTAAGCTGTGCCCGATATCAGCGTCAGAGGCCCGCCGTCACATAAGGTAGTGACGTCACACGGTGGGCGTTCCCGTTAGTATTCTAGTTCTATGGGCTTGCTTAGCGTGACTTTCGACTTCATCATAGTTTGTATCAGTAATTGAAGGCGTCAACACGCAAACCAAGCAAACATTCAACTCGAAAACTAGAAATTCGGAAATTAAAACACTGCGATATTAGCGACCTATCATTTTGGCTTACTGTGGTTGTGTCGTCTTTTCGTGTTTCGCCTTAGAAGTTGTTGTGTCTCTACACTCCAGATCACAATTAAATCCGTGTAATTTACGTTAACAAAATAGAATGTGTGATAAAATCCAATATTGGTGGCTTTCATTTACGAGAATATTAATATGGTGTTGAAAAATCATAATCAAACTTCAACTTACTATATCGTTTAATGTTGATCTGTTTTCGTTTGGTGTATTCATATATGCACAGAAAAGGGAAATGATTTATATCCTTGTAGTGCGTGATCACATTAGGCACATCTATTGTCTCTCGACCTTCCTTATCTACGCCAGATATTGTTGTATAACTACCACGTCTCGTAAACGCGATTAAATGGACAAAATGTGTCGCAACGCCTATACCAGCGGTTGCCAGGCATGATAAGCCCACATTTTGCAAGAGATAGATAGAGAACGAGCGATTTTCCGTACAATCAGGGATCATAATCCAGGAAGTTATGGTCTGAAATACACGAATATCGAAAGGGACTGAGATATTTGGGTGTAACGCGACATTCGTACAACCAGGGGTCATAATCCAGGATGTTACGGTGCAAAATGCGCAAATATCGAAAGGAACCAAGATCTTTGGATTATAATCATACATTTCAAGTTTCATCAAAGTCGGATGCAAATTATGACTTCTAGAGTGTTCACAACCTTGGTATTACATACTTTTACACTATTTGCGTACAAAAAGCAGCCATTTTGTCCAGCAGTTTTGGTCCAATTTTCACGAAATTCGATCACAACTATCATTAAGGATCCACGGTGATATACTTAAACGTTTTTTTTAAATCGGATAAAAAATGTGACCTCTAGAGGGGCCACAAGCTAGAAAAGATATTTTTCGTAAAACCAAGGGCCATAATTCAATAAGTTACGTTTCGATATGTGCGAATGTTGAAATTAAGCAAGATCTTTGGGTAATCAAAATGTATTTCAGGTTTCATCAAAATCGGATCAAAATTGTGACTTCTAGAGGCTCCACAACTTTGATAAACCATATTTTTTTTACACTAATTGCTTACGAGGGGTGGCAATTTTTTCCGGCAGTTTTGGTCTGATTTTCACGAAATTCGAACTCAACCATCATCATGGTGTAACGGTCACATAATGTAACGTTTTTATTTTTTAATCGGATAAAATTGTGGCCTCTAGAGGGGCCATAACCTGCGAATATCGAAAGGAACCAAGATCTTTGGGTTATAAACATGCATATTGAAATATGGGATATGTTTAACCCCGTTCATCGCATCCCTTCATACAACTGGTGCTCGAGAGTATTTTGACACACGATATCTGTGCCAATTTTAACATTTTGTCTTAAATATTGGATATCAGAAGCGTGCGCACTGTATCATAAGGTCTGTCATTGAGTCAACTGGCGTGGTTTCGATTATAAGGTTGTACGTGACAAGGAGTAGTAGGGTCGCCTATTCAACCCCGAGGGTTTTCTCCCAGTCCTTCTAATTATTGAAATAAAATTGAACCAGATGACAATCCCAAAATGACCTAGTTTGTGTCGAGTGGACGTTAAAACCCATCTCTCTCTCTCTCCCTTTAAGGAAGATAATATCTCATATTTGGCGCTGATTACAGCTCTCTCTTCATCTTTAAATGGCCGGTTTATAAAATTTCACACAAGCACTATTATGCAGAAAATATTATTCACAAATAAAATATATATTCCTCAACTAAGTAATACGATGTATTCATTTATTACAACTAACAATAATGTAACTGAATAGCTTAAACTTAATTGTCAATAGTAATAAATATTGAATTTACCACGCCCACTTTCTGTTAATATTTTGTCTGTAAATACTCTACAGGTTTTAATTATTAATGGATTTTGTTCACGTTTGGGGTAATAAATCACCCAATAACAGAGTTGTACATATTTATACCCCCCCCCCCTTTTTTTTAGGGCAGAGCCACGCCCATTTGTTTTGTTTATCGTCTAAAGGCTGCAATTATGAATGGATCATCTTGGAACTTGGCATATTTATGGCTTATACCATAAGCACTGCAAATATTGATTTTGGTACTTGTCTGACCCCCAAGGACGGTGTAAATTTCTTTTTGTTAATATTTAGTATGTAAATTTTGCAAGACAAAACCAAACTCCTAGCCAATTCATATTTTATTCTTGTCATTTTAAACATGTGCCATTTCAATCAAAGCAGGAATGTGGACGTACCATGCAGTGGTAGCTTTGCTCTTGTCGAGAATAGATTTAACATTGGCTAATGTCCAGATACCGGAAATACAACTAGTTTCCAGTCAGAGGCTAAAACAATAATTGAGGGTTAAATGATTTCATATTGAATAAGCTTTGATAATTAATATCATCAGATCAGGGGATCACGTGGCTAAGTGGGTAAGACCCTGGCTCGCTAGCCTGGAGGTCGGGTGTTCGATCCCTGCATTGGCCGAGAAAGTTCATCCAGATTTTCCGGCATGGTTCCCCCTTGTCAGTGATGCAGGACGGAGGGCCTGACAAGGGCAGCTGTCTAGTCCTTCGGATGAGACGAAAAACCGAGGTCCCGTGTATACATTGGAATGCACGTAAAAGATCCCTTGGCAGTTGGAATTCGATATAAGAGTAGGCGATAGTGCCGCTGCCCGGGCAAAATTTCCCTCATAGCACACTGTATAGCGTATGCCCGTCTTCATTAGCCCAGCATAGGAGCAGAACAGTATGACGTTAAACCCCATTTCATTTCATTTTCATCAGATCAACATTTGGTATCATGTCATTAACTTATTTAAGGGCTGGTACAATCGTTTCAGTGGAATTGGTATTTCTTGCTTTTTAATAATACATTTTCTGATATTCCTAATTAAAGTGATATATTCCTTCCGGAGTTTCCCGAAGTCCCGCCAATCACAATCTGAATTTTGTTGTGAAGTATATTTTTCGTGTCCAATTTCCGCTGTTCTTCCAAATTTGATCAGGATATGTCTTTTCAACAGCAGAAAAAGAAAGTTCTCGGAAAACAGAGCAATGAACGGGTGTCCGAAAAGATCCAAGAGGATTTACAAGGTGGACTAAGAAGAATCAGATCCAATACTTGTTTTCAAATTAATGAGTTGGTTCTATAACTCCTTTCATAAAAATATAGATTATTGCAAAGAATTGTTTGTATTCATGTTAATGTTAAAATTCGGAAAAAAAAAGTTATTTTGGATATCGTCAGTGCTTTGAACGTACATTTATACGCCCACTTTTTAAAGTGGTCATATATTCAGGGTCGGATTAAGCTTACATAGGGTTCCTGGCTAAAAATGTCACCGGGGTCCTTGCCACAACAGTGAAAAGAGGACATGCATTCTTGTTGCCATACCGTAGTTGCGAAAATTGTATGTTCCCCTTGTTTAGCTACAGAAACATAATATGACAGCCCAGTCAGCCCCACCCCACCCCTTTAACCAGACCCAGCGTATGTATATTGCCTTCACGGTGTCTGTTTGAAATTATAGAGAGGGGCACATTGGCAAATCTTAATTTATCCATGGCTTATAAGCTTGTATAAAAAAGAACTTTATAATTTAGTTATCGACTTGGTTGTCTTACTTGACAGTACGTGGCTTCGTTTCGAGGCATTGTACAAGCTTTACATGCCGATGTAAACACACCATCCACACATTGTTTCGGTTCTTTATTAAAGGGACAATAACACTCTTGCTGGCTTGACAGCTCCAGAAAATAAAAAAAATAGCCTTATTCTAAGTACTAGATGTGTTAGTGTCTTACCTGTTGTATAAATTATCCATTAAATCCTATTTTACTTGTCCAGAGGGTTAAACAATATTTTAAATCAAAGTCACATTTGAAAAGCCTTACGTCAGGCTATTCAAAATATTTAGTTGAATTTTTCCAATTTTTAAAATTAGGTGTGTTAAGATGAAATTTGTATCATCAATTAATTGGAATATTGTAAAATAGTGCAATTTGTTGACCAGAATAAAGATTGGGACATATTATTCAGTTACAACAAGAGTGGTATTGAGCCTTTAAAGATTCATTATGGAAGATTAGATAAATAGCTGGCAGGTCTCATTATAATAGTTAAAAACTAGATTCTGTAAAGGGAATATGCCGGAAATTTGGGTCTAAGCCGAGAATACTTTATTTTAAAATCACTGAAGCTTCGATTGTCATTGTTACCGCTGTCACGCTAATTAACAAAGTCTTGGTTATCCTTTTTGGTTATGGTTTGTTCATGTTAATAAATGTCTAATTAATACAGTAGTTTATATAACATTTCAGGCCTAAAGAAAGACCTGCAATAAGGCAGGTTTATCGATTGCATAATGCATTTTTAATATGTAAACGGGATCCCGGTTTTTGGTCCCATCCGAACTATTAGGGAGCTAAGGAAGTCCCGGCTCCATACCCCGGTGTTAGCCGAGAACGTTCCTCGGAATTTTCAAGTGTGGTTTCTCCTTGCCAGTGGCGAAAAAGGGTTCGTGGCGGGCAGTATGTCATGGATAAAGAACACAATTAGCAGAAATAATTATTTTTTGGAGCTTGGTTATGGAACCGAACATCTTGGAAATGTGAAATATGAAATATGATAGTCCGTCAATCGATGCGCAGTTCTCCATGAACAAAGAGAGAGAGAGAAATGGGGTTTAACGTCCACACGACACAAACTAGGTCATTTCGGGACTAACATATGGTTTAATTTTATTTACATAATTCGCTTGCGCGTAGGGGTCTTCAGCAGCGGGAGGAAACCGGAGGACCCGGAGAAAACCCACGAGGTTGGACTTGCCACGTACAACCGGGGATTCGAAACCACGCCAGTCGACTCAATGACAGACTTTATGATACAGCGCGCGCACGCTTTTTTTTTTTTTCTTGTAAGTATGTTTATTCAGATATTAAAATACATACAGACATGTCACACATGAATAAACAAAAACATACGAAAAATATTTACACTTATACATATGAAAGAGTGAATAGGTAGGTTTTAAAAACATATTTTTATGAGGTTTATAGATATGCACAGTGTAAATATTTACAGTGTTTACATTAAAAGTAATTAAAAGGGTAATTTACAAAGTAAAAGTCGAGAGTATATACAAACTCTTTCAAAAATCTAATTTAATATTTCCATTATTTTCATATATTATAAGGACTGACGGCTTAATGAACTTATTAATAAAATGATGCTTATTATTCGTAAAAATATTACTAATATTGTATAAATTATCTTTTAATATATTTTTAAACATTATAAGCGGCGCTTATAAATAGCTTGTCTTGCCGATGATAAAACAACATTGGAAAGTTCATCATGACTGTTGTTATCAGAAGTGGATTGAATACCAAACAGTAAACTTGTTTTAAATACATCACTATTCATTGGTGAATTTGATATATCGAGTATTATCTCCTTAATTAGATCTAAAATATTTACAAGACTATTACATTCTAAAAACATATGAATAATATTTTCTATATCTACTTTACAAACAGGACATACATTAGAATCAATAATATTAACTTTATGTAATTTATCCATAGACCAAATATCTTGTGGAACTTTTGTGGTGAAAACCACCACAGACCCAAAACACTCTATCAAAATTATTCTAAGTCGAAAATCTTGTGGAATGTAGTACCACACAGGCACAGAGGGGTGTCCGAGAAGAAATTTTTGAAAAAACTGATATTTTTTCTAAGTTCAATATCTTGTGGAACTCTTGTGGTGAAAAACACCACAGACCCAAAACACTCTATCAAAATTATTCTAAGTCGAAAATCTTGTGGAATGTAGTACCACGCAGGCATATAGGGAGGTCTGAGAAGAAATTTTTTGAAAAAAAATGATTTTGTTTTCTAAGTTCAATATCTTGTGGAACTCTTGTGGTGAAAAACACCACAGATTAATATATTTTGTAGAATATATTTTCCCCACATCTTACAAGATGATAGGATAAACTATTATTGTTCCAGCGAAATAAAAAGGACATGTTTCATAAATATTTCATTGTCCACTTTTCCAAACGCCCCCAAACCTTGTCATGTCTATATAATTTGTTTATATATCATTACAGATAATGTTGTTAAAAATGATACGGAGGTTTAGTGTCTCTATCATTGCATTGCAAGTGAAATTTGGCCCAGACATCGGCGTTTTTGCCTTCTTAATTTGTAAACGGACAAATCCTCGTTATTCGTCCAATATCGATTACCTTAATTTATATTTATTAATATCAAGACCAAATTACGTTATATTAGCTTTGTTATTACTTATAATGGTTGTATATTATGATTTGCATTTATGTGGGGGTGGGGTGGTGGGGTGGATGGCCAAATGGTTAGCACGTGGGCGCTGTATCATAAAGCCTGTCATTGAGTCAACTGGCGTGGTTTTGAATCCCCGGTTGTACGTGACAAGGAGTAGGGTCGCCTGTCCAATCTCGTGGGTTTTCCCCGGGTCCTCCGGTTTCCTCCCACTGCTAAAGACCCCTACGCGCAAGCGAATTATCGAAATAAAACTAAACCATATGTTAGTCTCGAAATGACCTAGTTTGTGTCGAGTGGACGTTAAACCCCATTTCTCTCTCTCTCTTGCATTTATGTTTATCTAGCCTATATTTTAAATTTTTGATATATCAGAACCGATTTGACATACTACTGAAATTGTAATTATTTATACATTATATCCGATATTTCTGTAATGTTATTATCAACACATCAATTCCATTGCGACACTTTTTCAATCACATTATTAATTATTATAACTTGGAAATAAATCAAACTGTTCTAGAAATGTTGGAAGAATTAAAAGCATTCATGAAATTTCCTTAATTTATCATACTGACTAGGGTGTTGTATAAATCATGTATAAAGAAAATAAATTGCTTTTAAATCGAACTAATTCAAAATACCTAGCTATACTGTATATTGAAGTAAATTCTATTTATGATCATAAACTCCATTGCATTAGTAGTTGGTGATAGAAACAAATACCGTATTTTCTTACAGTGTAGAGATAGTGTAAACTATTCGACGTTTGGGCTAATCCTTAACATATTAATACATTAGTTATATATTTTGAAAACGTTGCTTACCCGATTAACATTAAGATTCCCACAATAGAATTCACGAACCCTCCGCTATATCCACGATTATGCTATACTGCATATGCTCGATGACCGTAGATTAAAAATAAAATGCTACATCTAACGGATTGACCAAAACCAGTCCATCGGTTCGACCTATATAGATAAGGATTAACGTCAACTTCAACTGAGCTTGATATCGCAGATACGCATTTCTTGAAAGGCAAGTCAAGAGAGAAAAAAGAATTGTACATGTATATTTTATTACAATAATTCGCTTCTGCCACCCGATCCGCCTATTATTAGCCTGCTAGTAGTAGAGAGTTGTTAGTCATTTTTAGATGCTCGTAGCAGCGCTAAGGGTGCCTCTGCGCCTCTGGGGGTAAATTGTTAGCCGCTACAGTAACAACTAACAAGGGCAGCCTTTGTTATCTACTATAGTAGCAACTAACAAGGGCCGTATAGTTTTTATTTTCCTAATAAATAAATCGAGACTTGGAAAACTAACTTTATTCCCATTTTCTGGTTATTGACGAAATGTGGACTTATTTAATAAACAACTAAATTACTCATATTTTACTGCGGCCAAAATATTTATGAATAATACTAAAATAGGGATTAAAGATGAGATTTTGTGTAGATAATCAAGGCCCTATCCTATTTATAGGAGGAAACTGTGCGCTGTATGCATATATATTATTATTTAATGAACTTTCTTTTCAGAGGTCCCTATATTCTAATTTCGACAATTATAACATATACACTGTACATTGCATAAACTTCTCTCGAACAGTTCTGAGTCGCTTTTTGATCCACCATTTTATAATTTGCTCCCTTTACTATAGGAGTATTCTTCCCGTCTTAATGGATGTTTTGGTACATTAAAATCTGATCTTATCTATTATCTATTCCAATCGTATTTCTGACTATAGCAGTAACGATTTGTAGGCCTACTAATTTAATAAAAATAAAAAAAACCCACGTAATTTGTCCTTTCGTTTTAAATGTATCGAACGTTAAATTGTTATTCGTAATATCTCTTTTCAATGCTAAAGTATGAAAACATTTGTTAGCTATGTAAATTCATCAAATCAAAAGTTCTAGAAAGATTTGGAATATTCTGATTCTGTAACAAATGTAAATTTATATTTCGGTCATTTTTGAAAATAGTGAGTTACTAGGGATTCGTCGTGGCCTAGATTCCGATTTGACTTTTAATGGAGGTATAACCGTGGCTGTAACAGGGACTTTCTTCTTGTCAAAATTTTATATCGAATGCAGCTAAGTCAATTTATTATGTCACACAATTAATTATTATCTTTAATCCAGTCAAAAACTGGAACTATTTTGCGATATGGTTCCATTTCGAGCGGTGATCTGGTTATGCGACGCGTTTACCCGAATAATTCGCTTTCAGAATCTGATTATTCTGTTACCAATTTAATAATATAATTTAAAAAAAACAAAACTGTTTAGGATTATCTTATTTACGGAAGAGAACGTGTAATGGGTCGAATGTCTCGTCAATACAATATCAGACATTCTGAGATTAATTTGTTTTTATCGTTAGATAAATTTATCGTCTCAAGGAATGAGGCCGAAAGTTTTGAAACTGAATCAATCGGGTTGACTGAAAAAAAAAACAAAAAAAAAAAACCCTAAGCATGTCGCCACGGCCATGGCATCATTATATCTAACCTTTTATGCTTTTATGAAGTCAAAGAACACGTTGATTTGTTTCGCGACCTATACATAGGCCTACAGTATTTGTTTAAAGACCCAAACGGTAAGTATTTCATATAGTTTATTAATAATTAAATTTTTCTATACATAGCCTACTAGATCTACTTCCTCTCACAGCCAAATGTGTATAGAACCAAAACTTTGAACTTAAAAGGCCAGGCAAATTTTCTGATTTCATGTAACAATGCGTTGTTATTTATTGTTACTGTTATTAGGGCCTATTATATTAGTTATTTCTTATTATAAGGGCCTGTGTTGAAGAAATTCCCTTACTGAAAAAGAAGACAATGATGCAAAATTAGATATCATTTTTCGATTTTTACAAAATAGATTGAATGTGAAAACAGGACGAAAGCAAAAAGATAGGCAACGTATGACATATTAAATTATTGCGGCTTTAGTTTTAGTCTACTTTTAGACACTTTAGTCTTACTGAGCTGGAAGGAATTAACAGTGTGACCTGCTCTAGTAGTCATTCAGTTGTTTTGTTTCGTAACGGTCACTCACGGACAAAGTCTTCTGTCAATTCCTGTCCGTCCTTATTATTATTAAGCCACAATATGAAAATACAACTCTTTTAGCCATTACCACAGTCTCTGTCTAAGGCTATTTTGGAGTCTTTTCCTTCTATTTTCACTGTATTTCTTTGTTTGCCAAAAGGAATCATTTTCCACAACATTTGATAATAGGCTATATATTGATAATAATCTATCACCATTTTCAAGTGTTTTGAATCACAAAATTCTATTTAAAAAAAGCAAAAAATTTGATTATTATTATTTATGTACAGTTCTATGGATTGCAATTACCAGTGCTGCTTATTACTGAGCGATGTTTCGAGTAGGGAAGCCCAGTCGAAACATCGCTCAGTAATAAGCAGTAATTGTATTCCAGAGAATTGTGACCTGTATATTCCAGTTCAATTACTAAATGCGATTGAAACAATTCAGTATTTTCTTATTGAAGCTTTCCATTTGGACTGATAGGAATGGTCAAAGAATTTTGTCTGCGAGATACAGTTCTGACAGGAATTAGTCATTCAGATGGTACGATAAACAAGTTCCCCTGTACACGGCATGCACGTACCGGTAACTAAAAGAACCTTTTACAGTTTGAAATTGAAATAAGAGTAGGCGGGCAAACCAAAATTTCTTTATACATGTACTAGTACACTGCATGTCAGATATCGGTTTCATTATTCTCTGGTGTGGTTACCCCATGTCAGTGGTGCAGGACAGGGGCCTGACCAGGACAGCTGTCTAGTCATTTGGATGGGACAAAAAACAAGGTCACATGTTCACATTGGCGTGCACGTAAAAGATGCCGTGGCAGTTGGAATTGGATATATAACTTGTAAGAGTAGGTCATAGTGCAGCTGTCCGGGCAAAATTTCACTCATATCATGTACTCATCTTCATTAACCCAGGCGGAAAAGAACAGTAGGACATTAAACCCAATTTCATTTCATCTCCGTCTTCCATAGCTCGAATAATCCCATTTGGAATTTAATTCCCCAAACAACCTTCAATTGTTGTTTTCTACATTCTACACTAGTGGGATTAGTTGCAGAAAGTATGACAATAAACACCCCATTTCATTTCTTTAGTATAAATTGTCATGTAATTTTGTCCATGCTATCAGTCTATCTATCCATTTCATATAGTTTACGTTTGTGCCTTTTTAGAAATGAAATGAAATGAAATGAAATGGAGTTTAACGTCCTACTGTTCTACTCCAAACTGGGCTAATGAAGACAGGCATATGCCATACAGTGTGCTATGAGGGGAGATTTTGCCTGGACAGTGGCGCTACGGCCTACTCTTATATTGAATTCCAACTGTCAAGTGATCTTTAACGTGCACGTCAATGTGTACATGGGACCTCAGGTTTTTGTACCATCCGAACGACTAGACAGCTGTCCTTGTCAGGCCCTCCATCCTGCTTCACTGACAAGGGGAAACATGGACTGGTAACAATGAGTGAACGAAGGGAGGAGGGTGGCTGGTACATAAGTTTACCTTACATATAAAAAAGAAAAACAGTCCATGGACCCAATAACTATTCCTAAGCACATGTGTATGTCATTAGTAAGGGAAAGTGAGGTAATGTTAAATATTATGTTAATTTTGGAAATTTAATTTGTAAACAAATTAATCGCCACCCAGATTCTTTCCATAGAAAAAGCTAAGCTTATTATTACTGCACCAAGTTATTAGTAAAGGTTAGATTATCTGTACAAATTTACCAGCACACAAAGACTCTCCTTTTATATTATAGTGCGTTCAGACGTTGACATTGAACTGGATTGAATATCGTCTGAACACAAAGGTGGGACCAAATAAACCAGTTTAACAACCCCACCTGTAGCCGTCTTAAAATCTCTGGCTCCAGCTTGCTTTGGGCATGCACAGTACCGTAAACTATAGCCTGTTCCTGGCAAAATGACGACATGTGCAACAGCATTCGGTCTTAAATACCCTGCAATTTTGAACTAGTTTGAATATAAGCTTCTGAATAGGCTACCAGAAGGAAATAAACATTTTAAACCCACTTACTTTACAATTTTCTCAAGCTAAAAATAAATTTGGGGGTTAAACTGACCAGAAATAGAACAGACAGATCCAGTTTGTGGCGATTTACAACGTACAAGGACATTGATGCATCTCAGAATAGTTTCTGTAAACTATAGGCCTAAACATGCACAAGGCCTCCAATCTAATTCTGAATTGGCCTTTTGTGTAGTGAAGTGAAGGTTAACCAATGCGGTATTTTTAACTATGTTAGTGTACATGTACATGGCAGTAGCTAAATAATTTTTCACATTATGTTTTATTTATATTTTTTAGAAGTTGATTTGGAGAAAAATAAAGCTCCTTAAGCAGAGAAAAGACACAAGAATGTATTGATGTTGGATGTTTAAGTTGAAAAAATCAAACTAAAGACTTCAGCAGAAGTGAAATGATCCCAAAAAGAACTTAAGGGGGGAATATGTTTCAAGTAATTTCTTTATACTTTCTAATTATGTGCCTTCATTTCAACTTACAGATACATTATGTAAGATTTAGATAGAGAGCTAGCCATTCTTGCTATAATAGTTCGAAAATAGATAATGTAAAATGAATAATATTGAAAATTTCATTCAAATTGCTTTATTGCCAGCGAAGATATTAGAATTTGAAGTTTTGAAAAGACGTGTGCAATAATTGCATCGACCGTACTGGTTGTTCAAAGCTAAGTCTCGCTCCTCCTTTTTAAGATTAAATCAAAATATGGCTGAACTGTTCTAATCTAGCTAATATCAGAGAAATCAGATGACATCAAGAGATGATTAGTTAAACTTACATTATGCAAGAGCTAAATCTGCCTATTGCAGGTCTTTCTTTAGCCTGAAAAGTTATCTAAATTATTAATAAGATATTAATAAACTGATCCAGACCATAATCAACTCTTGATGCCATGGGATGTCTCCGATATTAAATAGATTAGAACGGTTCAGCCGTATTTCGATTTAATTTAGAATTGGAGTATCAAGGCTTAGCTTAAGTAAAGTGGTTGCAATTAATGCACACATCTTGTCAAACTTCAAAGGATCATATCTTCATTCGCAATAGAGTAATTTACAGGAAATTTCAATTTATTCATTTTACATCATCTATTTTCAAACTGTTATAGCAATAATGGCTAGCTCTTTATCTAAATCTTACATAATGTATTTTTAATTAATGTCTAATTAATAATTTAGAAAACATTTCAGGCCTAAAGAAAGACTTGCAATAGGCAGATTTAGCTCATGCATAATGTATGTTTAATGGTTGTTACTGTACAATATACTTCATAAACACCCTACAGGTCAGAATTTCTGTAAGGGTTTGGCTAGTTCGAAGAGTCACCCAACCATCACTTTGTTAACGTTCACTGTGTATTATTTTGTGAATCTTGTATTGTGAACTCTCTAAAAAAAATTATTGTCCCCCGCCTTTCGAAGAAAGCAGGGAACTATTAAAATGGGTTCGTTTGTCTGTCTGTCTGTCCGTCAGTTTGTCTGTCCGTCACACTTTTTGGGACACAATAACTCTCTTTCTAATTGAGGTAGAATATTCAAACTTGGTGACAGTGTAGGTGTTTATTAGGTCAATACCTAATAAAGATGAGTGCAAAGATGAGCATTTTCTGCTTAGGTTAAGTAGAGATAAGCAAATTGATTGAGTGATGAAGCTTGATGTATAATTTCATTACATCAATACCTTGACTATGTTCGATAATGAGCATTTTCTGCTCAGGGTAAGCAGAGCGATAAGCTATTTGATTGGCAGAGATTTTAGAACACAATAACTCTCCTTCTAATTGAGCTATAATGTTCAAACTTCTTGTAGATGTTTATTAGGTCAATGCCTTAATGGAGTTCGAAGATGAGCACTTTCTGCCTAGGGTAAGCAGAGATAAGCAATTTGATTGGTTGATGCTTTGGGACACGATAACTTTAGTTCTAATTAAGTGAGAGTGATGAAACTTGGTGTATAGTTTCATTACATCAATACCTTGACTAAGTTCGATAATGAGCATGTTCGGGGTAAGCAGAGCGATAAGCAATTTGATTGGTCGAGACTTTGGAACACAATACCTATCATTTTAATTGAGTTAGAATGTTCACACTTGCCGTAGGTGTTTAGAAGATGAGAATCTTCTACTTAGGGTAAGCAGAGATAAGCAATTTGATTGGTTGATGCTTTGGGACACGATAACTTTAGTTCTAATTATGTGAGAGCGATGAAACTCCTAATATATTAATCCAATAAACTGAAATCAAGGCCTGAAATGTATTACTAGATTGTAAAAATGGATAAGTACTGCAAAGTTTAAGCAGTACCTTGTTACAGGAGTATTTCCGGCTGCATGAACGGTCATGTCCTCTGTATTCACTTCACCTGTGTTGTCATTTTTAGATTTAATGGCATTTATATTAATATTGGAGCCCTGGAGAAGACCATCCTGGTTGATTTTCAGGTGATCTATATTGGTATTATAATTCATGCTGATCATATAATGTGATGGGTTGTGTACTGTATGTAACATAAATTATCTGATCAAATATATCATTGTAGGGAATAATGAAATCTAGAGAAGAATACCAGAAGAAAAATGGTACAGGAGAAATTTCAAGATCTAGATTGGTAAAATGCTTTCTAGATGGAGCTTAGTAAATGCATTTCAAGATTGAGCTTATTAAAAATTGAATTCTAGAAATAGAAACCTTTGATTACCGTGCACCACAAGCTTTTGCTTACGATAATGTCGAATCATTTTGGTGTTGCAGAAATTGCAAAAGAGTGGATGGCGTCATATCTACAAAACAGGAGTTTTCATGTAAAAGTTAAGAATGATTTCTCCGATGTAAAACATGTAAATTTTTCAGTTCCACAAGGTAGCATCAATGGTCCGATCTACTTTATCTGCTATACCAGTACACTAGCATCCTGCATCAGACACAATCAAACATTAGTTGGCTACGCCGATGACCACAGCTTGTATGACAGTTTTAAAGCCGGAGATCTTGATGCAGAATCTCATATTGCTTCCCGCGTATCAGAGTCCTTAGACGACGTTAAAATCTGGATGCTGCATAATCGACTAAAGATGAACGACGAAAAAACTGAGGTTATTATCTTCGGTGGTAGCCGTTAGCTCCACAAGTCTACCATCCACGAATTAAGAGTTGGGGATTCTGTAGTTGGGTCTTCATCCCGTGTTAAATTCCTGGGGATGCATTTGGACGAAAACTTAAACTTAAAGAGTCATTTTGCCCAGAAGACTTGTTGTGCTGCTTCGGCAATGTTCAACTTGCGGAAATTGAGTCCGTTTCTTTCGCGAGAATCATCTCTTCAAATTGCCAGTTCTTTAGTTTTCTCCCATATGGATTACAGAAATAGTCTGCTCTGTGGTTTGCCAGCAACTACTCTTCAACCTCTCCAACGAATTCAAAATTTTACTGCAAAGCTAATTCTTGGTGTTAATTACGGCCATAGCTCGACTGGTGCTCTGAAAGAACTTCATATATTGCCAGTTGAAGTCCGATGCCAATTCAAGCTACTGGTACTGGTGTATAAGTGTCTCCACAACCTTGCCCCTGTCTACCTTTCTGAATTATTGCAGTCCCAAACTTCATCATGCAATATGAGATCGTCATCAAAAAACATTTATACCCAAGACAAAAAGTAAAACATTTGCAGACAGATCGTTCAGTGTGCTAGGACCGCAGCTCTGGAATACCCTTCCAGAAAGTGTGAAACAATGTCAAAACTGTAACGGATTTTAAAAAGAAACTCAAAACATATTTTTTTCGTAAAGCATTTCTTTAACGTTTGTGTAAGACTTTGTGAAGCGCCATTGAATGCATGGCAGTAATGTGCACTATATCAAATGTAATATGTTATGTTATGTTATGTTATTACATCGTTTCTTCACAGACAGTTGAGTTGATGATAATGTAACAATAAAGAACTTTTTTCATTGGATCTTATTATTTCATTACAAATTTTGAATGTAAATACATGTAACATTTTGTTTTATATTTTGAAATATTGTATATATTATGGAAAATTGTGATAATTGTTTATTAATTTTGAAATATCTAGACTGTGATTTGGTTTTAATTCATGCATATGTAACGTAATCATTATTGATTAAACTTTGTGAAATAATTAGATCAGTTTTTTACGCCCACATTTTGATGTGGACGTATATTGTTGTCGTCCCTGTCTGTCTGTCCGTCCACGATTTGTTTTTGGGTGGACACGCTACAGGTCACAATTTTAATATAGGTTTATTGTCCAAAGATGTCTGTTTCTTTCGATATTGACATGTATCGGACTGTAACTTTATGGATTATGGCCCCTGATTGTACAAAAAATCACGTTTTTAGCTTGTGGACACTCCAGAGGTCACAAGTCTTATCCGATTTTGATGAAACTTAAAACGTATGTTTACAACCCAAACATCTCGGTTTCTTTCGAAACTATTCAAATATATCATGGTTACACCCTAATGATGGTTGAATTCGAATTTCGTGAAAATGGACGCTCCTTGTGCGATAATAGTGGAAAAGTATGTAATGTTTTAAAGAGGTCACAGTTTTTATCCGATATTGATGAAACTTAAATAATATGTTTATATCCAAAGGATCTCTGTTCCAGTAGATATTCACATATATCGAACCATAGCTTCCTGAATTATGTCCCCTGATTGTACAAAAAACACGTTTTTAGCTTGTGGACCCTCTTGAGGTCATAAAGACGCTCTAAAGGCTAAAGTTATAATCCAATTGACTTATACAAGAGGGGGGTTGGATGGCCGAATGGTTAGCATGTGCCCGCTGTATCAGAAAGCCTGTCATTGAGTCAACTGGGGTGGTTTCGAATCCCCGGTCGTACGTGACAAGGAGTAGAGTCGCCTGTCCAACCTTGTTGGTTTTCTTCGGGTCCTCCGATTTCCCCCCACTGCTAAAGACCCCTATGCGCAAGTGAATTATTGAAATAAAATTAAACCATGTTAGTCCCGAAATGACCTAGTTTGTGTCGAGTGGACGTTTAACCCCATTTCTCTCTCTCTCTCTCTTATACAAGATGTAAGTGTTATGGCCATCAGACGAAAAAAACCCATTGATTTTCAGTGACTACCAATAATTACTGGCAGAGTTATAGCCCTCACTGACATTGAAACATATTGTGGACTCTCTACAGGCTAATTACTTTATTACTTATTAATAGGTTGTTTCTTTTGATCAGCTTTTGTGTCATTTTGATGTTTCCACCTGCAAAACAACAAATATGACCCATACGGACTTCTCCGAAGACAAAGGTGCTGTGGGCGCATGTTTAGTTGCCAGTCAACCTATCTTTTGATAAACTTGAGACAAGTTTGCAATCAGCATGAGGCAATTAGCTACAATTAAATGTATAGTTAAACACACAGTTTAACGCTACAATTGATATAGTAATTCTATCACAATAGTGAAGACTGGACCACTAAAGTAGTTACTTTGTGGTAATGCGATTTACATTTTCAAAGCGGTGTTTCTTATAATTCGAAAGCCGCCATGACACCGGCCAGATGAAATAAGTTCGGTAGGCGAAAAATTACTCGTAGCAGTTTGGTTTCATATCATATAATTATGCGGTAAGGCTTCACCTTTATTTCAATGGGAATTGGTTTATTATATGTTAAGCTATGTACAGTACAGTTTTGGGCCAGTTTATGTATAAATTAAGGGAGCTGTAGGTCAGTAACCTTTTTGTAGTCATTTGACTAAAAAACTTACGCAAAGGAACTCCGCAGGACGAGCTACTACTGTGGCTGGAGTAAGGCGGAAGACATCAGTAGTGGAACCATCTCTACCCAACCAGTAGCCTAGTGGGTTTTCGTCGGGTTCTCCATATTGACTGACTGAGATACACATAACTACCGGTAACATCGATCGCACAAAAAGGTTACGGAATATGCGTTGGGAGGATTACAAAATGAAATGCGGTTTTACGTCCTACTTTTCTGCACCAACTGCAGGTGATACTGAAGACGAGCATACGACATGCATTGTGCTATGTGGGAAATTTTATCCGGATATCAAATCACACGGCCTACTCTTTTTCAACAACTCAACTGTCAATCAAGGGTTCTTTTACTTGATTACCAACGTGTAAGGCTAGACACTGTCTGCATCACTGACAAGTGGAAACCGCGATTGGAAATCCCAAGAAACTTCCTCGGCCAGCACCTAGATCGGATACCCTGATTAATGAACCAGCGTCTTACACCGTGGCTCGTTGGGAGGATTACGTCTCCTCACCCACAAACGTATAAATGCATAATTATATGACGGATTTATCATGTTCTTTGGCGTGAATGTGTGTGAATTTCACAAAATGGTATATCTATACTTACACAATTCGAGAGTCGGCCGTCGTAACCCTAAAATACCGTGCACAAATGCATGTAATACGCATTTAGGGTGTGTGCCGATTACAAAATTGCCATGTTAAACGCGTAAGGTGTGTGGGGATAATATAATTGCCATAATATATTAACTGGCTGCTACAGTTATCTTGTTTGGTGTAAGTTTTCCATACCGATCGATCTGTTATTCCCCAAAAAACCCAAATCATGGGCGCAAATATATGTACTACACATAGGACGTGTGCCTGCCACAATTACTTTAATTTGTGTGAATTTTCCATACCGATCCATCTGTACTTGACATATTACTATATTAATGTCGGCCATAGTAATCCTGATAATAATAATAATGATATCGTTTATTTGTAAAGCGCGTTAATACAGAACAAAAACAGTTTCTAAGGCGCTGTTGGTTATATTCACTGATTATTTACAGATCAGGGTTTTGAAACAAGAATGTTTTGAGTTGAGATTTAAAATGGCCCACAGAGGGTAATTGTTTCATTGACTGTGGTAGTCATTCCAAAGAAAAGGGCTAGTATAAGAAAGGGTACGTTTTCCAAGTTGTAAGTTAATAGCTGGAGATTTTAGAATATGTTTTTTCTGAGAACGAAGATTTCTGCTGGTGGTATAGGGTTCTACAAGACTTTTTATATGAGATGGAGCTTGGCCGTTTAACGCTTTGCAGATAAAGAGGAGTAAATTGAACTTAATTCTTTGCTGAATTGGGAACCAATGTAGAGATTGCAATACCGTGGAGATGTGTTGCTATTTCTAGTTTTAGTGAGGCACCGAGCTGCTGAATTTTGAACATGACGTAGTTTGTTAATCTGATAGTCTGGTAAGCCGTATAGTAAACCATTTTGGTAACCTAGTTTAGTTGAGATGTATGCGTGAATGAGTTCTCCTTTATTTACATAAATGGGATAGCGTTGGATCTTTCAAATTCGATGTATATGATAGAAGGTGGTGGAGCAAATACTTTGTATGTGATCGTTCAACGATTGGTTCGAGTCTAATACAGCACCAATATTTCGAGAGTTATAGAATCCTGTTGGATTTCTTTAATAATGGTTTAACAATGGCTTTTCCATTAAATATTAATGTCTGTTACAATTATTTTAATTTGTGTAAATTTTCCATATCGATCAATCTGTACATGACATATACTAAGCAGCAAACGAAACGTCGGGTTGGTATGTTAATCTGAATAGACGCATTGCATAAAATATGTCAAATGTTTTTATTATTTGTGACCACATCTCCAACCTTACCTGAGCAATAAGGCTCCTTCTCAAACACGGAATTGAACCCAGGAAATATTCTCAAAAACGCAACCTGACTTCTGAGATGGTAATGTGTTCTCCATGATTTTCAAGTAACTCATGCTGCACGTGCTGTTCACCGGGACCAGTCCTATAAAATGCACCCCATACCTGGTTGAATCATTCACACTACAACGTCAGCAGCATGCCACGACTCACGACAGCTCAGAGGGACCAGGCGCTTGGAAGACTCGACGCTCGCCACACTGCCCAAGCCGTTGCCAATCACTTACAGGTCAATGTTCGGACCATCTACAGGCTTCAGCAACGCTTTCGAGTCACCAACACCACGGATGATCGCCCCCCGAACTGGTAGACCACGGGTTACAAGGCCTAAAGACTGCCATGTTCTGCGACAGCAATTGTAGAATCCCTTCACACAGGCGTCTGAGACAGCACGTCAGACAGTGGGAACACACGGAAGACCCATTAGTACCGATACAGTGCGCCGACGTCTTAACAGAGAGAACATCCATTGCCGTAGACCTTACCGTGGACCGATCCCCATCCAACGCCATCGACGTGAACGTCTACAGTTTACCCAACAACACCAGAACTGGTGAGACAGACAGTGGAGAACGATTTTTTTTAACAGATAAGAGTAGGTATTGCTATCAACTGCGGATGGCAGGACAAGAATATGCCGTTGAGGTGGCCAGTGTTATTCTGACCAATGTGTCATGTGTCATGCTTTGATCCATTTAGTAAGTCGTTTTCTAGAATGATTTAATTAAAGTGCCTCTCTGATTTTGAAATCGTGCTGACATTTATCAAATTGCCATTGAATATTAATTGTCTGCTACAATTATTTTAATTTATGTGAATTTTTCATATCTATTTTCCTTCAAAATAGCAAGTTTTCTCAATTTATGAAGAATTACAACAAGAAATATAATATCGACATCCTTTTATTAATCAATCAATAAATTATAGCTGATAAAATGAACAAATTATTCACACCATAATTGATAAAATGACAATAAACTATCTACAATATAGTTAACAAAATAAAATCGCCAATAAATCAATCACACTATAGTTGATAAAATAAACAATATATTAATTTCACTACAGTTGTTAAAATGAGCAAAATAAATTATTTTCACTTTAGTTGATAAAATGAGCAAATCATTATTCACAGTATAATCAATAAAATGAGAAATAAATTATTCACACTATAGTTCATATGAACAATAAGTTATTTTAACTAATGAGCAATACGCCATGTACACTATAGTTGATTAAATGAAAAAATTATACATACAGTCAATAAGCTGATAAACACTTCATAACACTGAATAAACTATGTATCAATGCACTCAATATGTTTATAACCCTTTATCAATACAGTCAATATTGTGATCAACAAAATTTAACAATACACTTGATACACTATAGTTGATAAAATGAAC